CTAAATATTTCTAATATTATTCGAATTATTTTTTCATTTTTTTAGTTTTATTATTTTTTAAAATTTTGTAAATTAGCCGAAATTCTTTCAAAATTATTTTGTTTCTTTCGCAATATTATTAAATTATTTTATTTCGAAATAATTTTGCATCAATCACAGTTATTTCAAAAGATTTTCAATATGCAAAATCTTTTGCAATATTTCGTATATTTATTCTGCTGATGCATTTCAATGAATATAATTATTCTATATCTTGTTTTTTCATCCAATACAAGGATGCAATGTCAGAATAGACCTAAAACTGGAGGGTTTTGGACAAATATTTTTCCATATTTAATGGATGATAATAGTTATAATTTTTTTTGATAACATTTCTGTATACATGTGCCACTTTTTATACTATTGTTTCTTGTTTAGAAACACATCCAGTTTTTATGTCAAATGCTATGAATGCAACAATGATATGAAAACAAATTGCAATTGTGTTATGGCGATTAGCAAATAATGTAGGAATATGAGTGTTAGAACAGACTCTTGGTATAAGCCAAGGGTCTGTAAGTCATTTTACTGATAGATTTTTAAAAGCACTATTAGATTTGGAACAAGAATGAATTTTATGACCAAAGGAATCACAACTGGCAATGGTAACTCAAGAGTTTGAATATGGAGAAACTGGATTTGGAAATCGTAAATTGCCTAATATGGTTGGAGCAATAAATAGATCCCATATACTGATCCATGCATCTTCTAAAAATGGTTCATGTTATGTTAATCGTAAAAATTTTCACTCTATTAATCTTCTTGAGATCGTTGACCATCAAAAGTGTTTTATTTATATATATGTTGGAGAAGCAGGCTAGTAACTGTTTTTTTTTATTTATTCTTTAAAAATATTTTACTAATTTTTATTAACTTTTTTTTTTTTAATCATAGAAAGTGTACATGATGTTTGTGTGTTTTATCATTCTTCTCTTTGTTACAAAATTTCTTTGAATCCAGAACAATAGGTTTTGGGTGTACTTATATTATTGCTGATGCAGCATATCCTCTTAGAATATATTTGATAAAAGTGTATCCTGATTATTATATATTGACCTATCATGAACAACACTTTAATAAGGTTCTTTCGTTAATAAGAATGGTTGTAGAGTGAGCATTTGGATAATTAAAGAAGCAGTGGAGAATTTTACTTAAAGAAATTTACTATACTGATATGGAAAGAATTATAAGAATAATTCATGTATATTGTATTCTACACAACTTTTTATTGATATGAGAGATGTACTATCTTTAGAAGATATTAATAATAAGGAAATAAATTATGAAGGCAAAGTTGAAGCAACAAATGAAACATATGAAGAAATGGCAGGCATTCAAAAAAGAAATTATTTAACTAATCTTCTTATGAACTTGCAATAACATTATTTATTACATTGCTTGCATTAATTAAATATATACATATTTTAAATTTTGCATCATTATACAGTATTACAGTATTACATTATCATTTATAATTTTAATAAGAACTGCCTAAAGATATCCATTTGTTCATCATGTTGCTTCTGTTGCATTTCAGAAGTATTAATATACTAATCATTCATAATTTTAGTAATAGTTTCAGTTTGTTCCTTAATCAAAGTACAGAACTCTTCCATATTCGTCTTTTCTTCTTCAGCACATGTACTTCTTCATTTTTTAATATCTTTCTATATAATATAAATAAAAATTTAATTATGAATAAATAGATAATAAATATATAACAATCTTTTTATCTCATCATCATCTTGGTCTTCAACACTTTTTTGTTTAACTCCATAAAGTGAATTGCTCATGATAGGTGCAGTAATGCTAGAATCTTTTCTTAAATACTTATCAATGTCATTAAAACATTCCCAATTATTCTGAACAGGTTCTTCACCTGTGCTTGCAATCCTATCTTTTATGTCATAGTATTTTTGGAGAAGTAAATTCCATTTTTGTTGAATCAATGCCTTTGCATGTTCTTTTAAAACTAAGCTTGCAATTTCAGAGATTTGTATATTAGTAATAATCTTGTTCCAAATTCAGTCCTTTTCTCTTGGATCTTTTACCCTCTGTAATGCTTATTGTTGTTTGCCTACTTCTTTGATAAGCATTCATGTTTCAAATGATGACCATCGATTTGATAATTTGCAGATACATCAGAAGTAGCAATTGTTGATGTTGAACCAAGGATATTAAGAGAGGTAGAAGAACTTGGTCCAACAGCTACAGAGCCAAATAAATTTTCTTGATCATAAGTAATAAATAATGGTTGTGGTGAAAATGAAATCTAAAAAAAAAAATAATAATAATCATAAAAAAAAAAAAAAAAAATTAATTTAATTTTATGTATCATATATATTCTGTACTTTATTATAAATAATGATTTTTACTGTTTCATTATATCTCAATATCAGTTCATTCAATTTCAAAGAATTTGTATAATATTGTATAGTTGAATATGGCTATTGTGTAGCCAAATATGGCTGTTACTGCAGTGATAAGTTATTTGTAAAATTTTTAAAAGGACGAATAGCTGGAGAAAAAGTTTTGGAAACCAAAGTTTTAGATAAAAAAGTTTTGAGTGCTAAAGGTTTAGGTATAAAGTTTTAGATACTAATTTAGTAGTCATCTTTGTTGGTTTTTTTGGAGACATAATGTTAATCGATAGAAGAATAAAAAGAGATAGCTCAAGCATTGATCATCATCTTTATATCAATTGATAATAGTGCTTGAGCATCATCTCAATTACTAGCCAATTACATTGAGAAAGGTGCTTGAGAATAGTCTAAATATGCTAAAGTTTAAAATTTTTAGCCCAAGTCATATGATTTTTGGATGTAACAGAAATTACACAATTTAAGCCACAAAATTTTGGTCACATGATTTTCACATGACTATTTTAAGTAATTTCGGTATTTCTGAAAATTTTGCTGAAAGGGTTCTGTATACTAAATTTAATCTGATCTGAGTATGAAGTCATATCATGTAGGGCTAACTAGATTGGTAATATAAAAGAACTTGCAAGAATAGACAAGATATCAGTGAAGTTGTAAAAGAAGTTGTATAAATTTTACAAGAGTTGTAAACTAGATTAGCTGTAAATTAGACTCTAGTAATAATGTTTTAAAAATAAACTATATGAAATAAGATGAGTGTTCTAAGGGTATGAATAAGCATCTAAACCTTCTTAACTAACATCAATATCAGAAATAATTTAGTAATACAGTTAAATTGTAGTACAGAGAGTTTAAATAGACAATATGCATAGTTGAGTTGTAGGTATAACAACTAGTGTAAACCTTATATATAGGTAAACTACTTAATTTAAATACCAAATGTATACATATGACTAGATGTACTCTTTAATATACTTGCTACACAAATTCCAAACTATTATAGTTTGGGTTTGTTCATGTCCAAATCCCAGACTCAAGCCCAAATTAATATCTTAAAAACTTTATTAATAATTTTTATTTAAACAAATAATTTATATTCTTATAACTATATATAATATATTTACAAAATATCAAAATTATTTTGTTAATTTAATTTTTTATAAAAATAATTTGTTTTTTTAAGGTTTGAGATTTGTCCAGGTTTTGCCAGCAAGTATACTCTCTAATGTAAAATAACTCCTCTAAGGTAACTCCTCTAAGATAATCGGGTTGTAAGCTCCTATGTCTTACATACTGAATAAAAAAATCCTAATCTCAGAAAGACTAGTTTAACTTAAAAAAAAAATTTATAAATTTTTATTAAATTTCAAAAAAAATTTATTATAAGTATTTGTTCATTTTTTACTAAAAATGTAATTTACCATATAGATCATATAAAAAATAATCTACTATACCCACTACCCTTAAAAAAACTTTATAATATATGCGAATATAATTTTTTAACTTAATATTACTCCTAAATTTTAACAATTATAAAATAAAAGTCTTATCTACAAGTCATAAAATTTTGATAAAAATTAATTGTGACTTCAAAAGTTTTATTATCTATATAAACTTCTGATACCATGTAACGGTAAATCATATGAAAATAATCAACATTACCCTCTAACCTTAAATTCAAGATAAACAGGTTTTATAGTAAATAATGGTTTAATTCGGTTGTAAAACTCTAATAAATCTCATTATAATTATTTTTTTTTGAAAATTCGGTTTAAGCTCAATCCAATTCAGTTTGTGAATTTCCAACCGGTTCTAACCTCTAGGCCACGCAAAAAAAAAAAAACTTACAATAAGACTTATATCTCAATCTAGAAGCTTTTAATAAGCAACTTTATTGTCATGAACCTAGTTTATAATAAATAACTTATTCCTCTAAGCTTTCGTAATCTGAATCTGGACCATCCGGCACAATCTCGGGCATTTCCTCATCCTCATCAGAATCAGTATAATCATTCCGAAACGACTTATGCATACGAATCTGATCCTCAACATCATCCAATCGCGCCCTCTTCATGTTTGAATTATCATTTTTATCAGATAATGATATCAAATCATTAGTTTCTGTAACAACGTTGTCATTTTTTTCAGACAAGGATATAATCTTTTTTGGTGATAAAAAGTTTTTGTCGTAACTTGCGACTGATGCGAGACTATTATTGAAAGGCTCTGATTTGGTAGGAGCAATAATAGGGGATGCTGCTTTTACAGAGGAGACTATAGGTGATGCAGTTTTGATAGGTGCGACTATGGGGGATGCTGTTTGGATAGAAGATGCTATAGGCGATGCTGTTTCAACAGGAACGACTATAGGTGATGCTGTTTTGATAGAAGCGACTATAGGCGATGCTGTTTGGATAGGAGAGGCTATAGATGTCGAATCATTAATTTCTGTAACGATAACGGTATCATTTTTGTCAGATAAAATCAAATCATTTGGTAATCTTTGAAGTGGTGGCAGACGACTATGAAATATAAGGTCACATATTGCTAATGCTTGGATGCTAAATGATTGCAACTGTTAACATTATGAAAGCATTGAGTATGTAAGCATTTAGAATAATTATTTAATAGTCATGTAAAAATAAATGGATTACTTGTCGTGATTGTGCATTTAGACCAGATGAGAAAATACGCAGAGCATGAGGAAGTATTGTAGGTTGAAACGCTGACGGAGCAACAATTGAAGAAAGTAAACATTCATATAACTTTAGTTGGACGTCACTCTCGTTACGAGTTATACTTGAAGTATTTGTAAATTGAGAAAATGGTGCTAAAATCTGTGACATAATGATATTATCGATAGTAGTGCGAGAATTACAAGGTATCAAGGAACCACCAACTGTAGACAAAGTTTTCAAAACTAAAAATTTTGATTTATGTTAATTGATAATTGTAACAAATATATGAAATAAATAAATTTGCAAACCTTCTAAGGCACTGATTTGTACACCAACATTCACGCTATTGGATTCTTGAATGCCAGAGTTGATAAGCTCATCTGAATCTGTAATCTGTCGTTTCTTGTTCTTGCCTCCTCTCTAAAATAACGATAATAGAATGAAAATAATAAATACATTTATATATTTTGTAATCATGAAATATGTACGGATACCTACATACCTTTCCAGCACTGGGTATTATATCAGCTAATACATCACGCTGTGGTTTCTGTTTTATTCTAATGTCATCAATAATGGAGGCCAATAGAGGTGATATTATAAAATTTATAAATCCAATCCCATATTTTTGTATACAAAGAGAAGTCAACCGATATGTGGAATTGCGCAATAGCCTGTAAATATAATAAGAAATAAATCATTTGTAGTAAAAAAAAAAAATTTTATTTGTAAAAAAAAAAATATGACTACCATTTATCTTTGGATTGTTCTAATAATTTCAACGCTATATTTGATATCAAACGCAAATGACGCGTAAAATATTCTCCTGCACTAAATTAAACGCGTTTTTTTAAAAAAAATTACATTGCTTACAAAATTCACTAATAAACTCACCAAATAATTAGACTTGAAAGAACTTTATTACTATGCACATATAACGACGGTACGCCTAGCATAAGCGTATAAAATTCCTCTTTATCTTTGTTTACAATCTGTCCAAAAAAGGCAATATTTTTACAGATTAGATTATGTCCATTAAAATTAGTTTGCCCCTGGGTGTTGTCACCTCTATATATGGTTTTTATATATTTGTATAAGAATTATAAAATTTTCAAGGTTAAAATTAGATTTTAGGATTAACATTTTACTTAGTACACTAGACACCAATTATCTAGCCAATTTGAGAAATAGCGAAAATAGGAGATATTACCCCGGGGCAATTATATCTGATTTAAAATTATAAAAATAAACACTTGCGAATGAACCATCACAAACATTATATACTCTGCAGAGAAGATCAAGGAATTGGTTCATGGGAACATGAACTGGTGTAGAAGTCGGCAAACTACAAGAATTTTATATTTAAGAACTTGCAGACAACGATTATTAAAGACTGCGTTATTTTTGGAGCAATGAGGTTGTTCGTACCTCATTAAGGAGATAATACATTCACACAAACATTGGAATCTTGAAAACAAAATTGGAAAGGCAATAATGTAATCTTCAGAAACTGGTGGGAACCCAAATTGAGATTGATTATTTGAAGCATGCTTCTCTAACATTTATAATCAGAGCCATATTAATTCAAGTAAATGGCATCAGTTGGAAATATTAAAATATTTTTCACACTCACCTTCATCAATAGTATCAAATAATCGATCCAATATGAAATTTAACGATCCAATTAATCTTAATGAAATTGACTTCCAATGAGCCAACGAATTTGTTTTACCACCTGTATTTATTATGCTTGCAAGGCAATTAGCAGCAGATTGGACAATAGATGATCCATTATCGAGCGTTCCATCCAGAACACTAAGACATAATTTTTGTGTATTTTCAAAAAATGGACGAAATATGTTTGGAAACTGCATGCATGATTGGGATAATGCATCAAACATTGTGGTCTGTAAGGAAGAAATTAAAAGGTTAAAAGTGATATGATACCATAAAATGCTTTTAGTTAATAGATAAGGTTTACCAGAAGTTCTTTATTTTCCGACAGATTTAAGAGTGTTGTATTAAAACGAGGAAGTTGGTGTGAAGTTACCTCCCTTTGTAACTCAGGTTTGTTGATGGTTTTTCCAAACATATTAGAAAGTGTCAGAATGACATCGGACAAAATAAGAGCTGACTCCGGTCGCTGAGAATAACGTGGAGAGAGAATATCATAGAGAAGGAATAACATGAAGAGAGATTAACAACTGAATAAAGAAAAAAAAGGCTTTTTTTAACAATAACCAACCGTAAGCAAATTTAATAAAGCAGAAGACCAAGATTGTAAGTTCTGAGTAAACAATGCCTCGGATTGTTGAATAGAAATCTTCACAAACGAAACCCCAGCCCATTTTGCACCACTAACTTTGGACTGCAGCAAGGAATTAATACGTGTACACCATTTATGAATTGGACCTTGTTCTGCCGAGTTGGTTTCTTGCCTTGCATTATTAGCTTTCTCTGTGACCAGTAACCGATAGTGTGTTATAGTTTCAAGAATAAAAGGTACAAAAGAATCGACAGTATTGTCATTTAGAGTATAATTCACAATTAGCGAATTTAAAAGCTTCGTCTGATCTAACATTTTAAAAGTATTTGATAATCTTTTTTTAAACATTGATCGATAGTTGTAGTTTATGCAGTATGTAGATCATATATTGAATTTCTTATTTTCTTTACTATATTGAGGATTTTCTTTTTAGTTTTTTTTTTTTTTTTTTTTACCTTAAGTAGTTACGCTAGTACTTTACGTATTAAGATTCTTGAAACTATGCATAATTACATGGAATTTTCCTAATATATACTTAAGTCTAGCATTACCCGGCCATCCTAAGTGCAACCTGTTGCATTACCTTAATCCAAGGTAGATTGCTCATTTGATTATTATTTTACAATAGAATATTGCCAATTTGATAATATCTTTTCATAGGAAGACAAAAAATAAAAAAAATTTTTATATTTATAAATAAACAGAAGTATAAGGGTAAATAATAAAATATACAAAACAAGAAAAAAAAAAAAAACATAAAAGTTGTAATTTACAAAACTTAAAAATTATAATTATAAGTCTATGTTAGATTTTAAAATTATAAACTATACTAAATAAAAATAATTCTATTATTTTTCTATTTATTTAGATTATTTAGTTTTTTTTTTGGTATTAAGGTGAGGCCTTGCTTGTATCTTTATTGATAGTTTAAAAGTTAGTAGCTATGTGAAGCTGCTATGTACAAAAAATAATTTTCTATATAAATATTATGACTAAAACTAATTCTTGCAGTCAAGACTAGACTATTGAACTGCTAACTATATAGTTATTCTAAATACAAATAAAAGAAAAACTACATTCAAGAATAAAAGCTCAAACATATTTATTTGTAATCTAAACCTATTAAAGTGATCAAAACTCATCTAGATTTATAAGTTTAGAATATGGTTATAAGAAATTTTGTATTTGATCCAAAGAATGGTTCAGATATTGATTTTATAGATAGCATAGTCAATAGGTAAACAGGTATTAGAATTGAAATATAGTTAGTCAGATAGCCTACATAGACAAGAATAGATATAATTTTTGTAATTAGAGTTTTTTTTGTTGCTTTGATTTGATTGAATTGAGGGTCTGACATAAGGTAATTTAAGTCCTTGTTGTTATTTTCAGTTAGCAAAGTTTATACAATATGGTTTTCATATTTGTTCATAAGAAAGTTCATTAACTTTAAGCAGAATAGCAATAATTGTTTATGAGACTAGTTTGTATAAAATGTTAAAGTTTTGTACAATATCAATTAGAAATTTAGGAATAAGTTCTTTGAATATAATATCAAGATAGTGTTGATTTGTTTGAAGAATTATAAGGTAAAAGGTATAGTGGTTACTAATTTTGTGTATAAGTTCTTTTTGTTAGTTTATAAATAAATTAAGGTCTGTATGATTAATATATTCAGATATGCTAGTTTGAATAATATTGGAGATAAGTGATGGATTTGAGCATATATACCAATGAGTTGAAGAGTCAGCAAGATTATAGTTGAAGCAATTAGTATTGTAAAATGTATATGAATAAGTTTTGTGAAAATAAAAGTAAATAAGAAGTTTATTTAATAAGATTTTAATTTTGAATAATTTAAGGTAGTTGAGTTTAAAGTTAATGACTTTATGAATTAGTTTTTGGTTATAATTAAAAAATAATCAAGTTGATTTCTAATCAATTTGAGAGACCAAGACTTCCTATTCCATATTACATTTTTGAAAAAACTATATTACTAGAATGTAGACTCTATAGATATTTTTGATAAAACTTCTAATTGAATATTCAATAAAATATTGATCTTAAAAAATTATATGATATATATTGTAGATATTTGTATAGTTAAAGTATAGTGTAAATAATGAATTATGTTATTTTGCTAGTAAGTCTGCTAAATTATTATGAATGTTATTAGAGTAACTTGTACTTTGTGAAAGTTAATCTGATACTTATAAGAATTGATAATATTAAGCAGAGTGTGCTATATAGGCCATGAGCTAAATTTGAAAAGCTTGTTAGGATTTGAAAGAGTAGTATATATTTTAGAATATTTAGTAATTATAGACTGAGAATTAGTAAAGATATTGATTGTTGAATTGTGAGAGATGATTGAAATAGCTAAAAGAATTAACATTAGTTTAGCTTTGTAAGAAGATGACCAGTAATAGATTTTAGCTGAAAATTTGTAAATTATTTGGTTAAAATTATTAACTTGTATCTATTCAATACCCATTGTACATTGATCTGTACTGATATCAATTACAGAGTCATCAGTATAGAAGTTAAATGTATTTTGTACTATATTGGTAAGAGAATATTGTTTGAATATATATGTAGCTTCTTTTTGCTTAAAGATTTCTGATATAGAAGAGTCAGAAATATAAATAGTGGGAGCAGAAGGTAGGGATAATAGATGTTTAATCACAATTGAATGAATCAAATCAATATAGTTTGCATTAAGGTTAAGAGCATTAGAAGAAACTTTTTTAAGAAATTAAATAGAAATTATTGATGATACATTAATTATATAGTAATTTGCAACTCTATAAGAGTTAAGATAGCAATCTGTATAAGCTAAGCATTGAATTGATAGAAGAGGATAGTGAATAAAAAGTTTTGTATTAATATTTGTTTTTCAGTATGTGATAAATATTTGATTGTTATTTTTAAAATATCTATAAATTTTGCCAATAATAATAATATTATTATTATATATTAGTAACCAGAATTTAAGTTTTTTAGAGATGTGTTGAGAGTTGTAAGTAAAAGAATTGTGTTCAGTTTGTTAATATTGTGAAAGTAATATTCTAGAGTTGTTGTTAATGGTTACAATATTTTCTAGATATGTAAACCAAGATGGCTTATGTCCTTTAAGTAGCTGTACTAAGTGAAGTGAGAAATAATTCTATTAAAGTAAGATAGTATTATCTGCAATGCAGAGTTGTTCAAGATACAAGATATTAAATTTTCTAAGTTGTTTTTTGAAGGTAGTATATTAAGGATAGGAGGACATGATTGGTTCTAGTAGTTGAAGGTTGTATTGTATAGTATTAAGCCAGGATATACTATTATTAGCTATTATAAACATGTTAATATGTATAATAAGTTAGATAATTTTAAAGTTTAAAGTATATCTATTAGGTTCATCAATATTAAATTGGAGATGTTGTAATATATTTGTAATTGATCAGAGATTATTTTGTAATTGTTGTAGTTAAATGCATGTAAAAATTCCTAGTAAATAAGAGTTGTTAATTTGTAAAATAAAGTTAGATATATGATGTTGAAGCTGAATGTTTCAGATATTGTATATATTATATAGGAATAGATTAAGCATAGTGCTATTTGGGATGGAATAGGCTAGATGAGATTTATGTTTGGCTATAGTTAGATATTTGGCTAGAATTTTGTTATATACAGAATGAAAAAGGACTATATTGTATATTTAGTATTCTAGTATAGAAATAATAACTGTGTTGATAATATAAATTATTTGTTTATCTGAAATTTTTTTGGTACTAACAATGTTTTTAAGTTGAAATGTTTCTTCTTGAATTAGTTTAATTTGTGTAGTTTGTTTATTGTTAAGTATAAACTAACAGTCAAAAAATTTAAAAGATTGGTTGGTTGGAATAGATGTAAATATGAAATTAAAAAATTGAATAGTAGTTTGGAATTAATTTAATATAAAGATAAATTTGGAGGAGTTGATTTGAATATTGGCCATTTGGTAAAAGAATGTTGCAGTTTGAAATGTTTTTTCAAATTCTAATTTAGATTAAAATATTCAAAATATATTGTCTATATAGGTTAGAACAGAGGTAAATATATTGAAACTTTGGGTTTTAGTGAAAAGAGACTAGTTGGTCATATTATAGATAATGTATAACCTTTATACTATGGTATGATTTTGTGAATAAGTAAGTCATAGTATATTTGCCAAAAAAGAAGAGTAATAGTTTCATCTTGATCTATTCCATTTTTAACTAAAAAGTTTCTTAGGCTTAACACCCCTGTGTTATAGTTATATATTACCTTAAGATGTGATGCTAAATTTTTATCACATATTAATACTTTATTTTAATTATAAACAATATAGCAATAGATGTTATTGTGTTACTGATTTATATTTGCAGATGCGAGCCAAAGCTCAGGTCTGACTTGGGACCAAATTTTAAAAATTAACTAAATGATTATTCTGCCAATTTGATAAGTTATTAATTTTGGCATGGTTAGTATAACAATTAATCCAATATCGATATATAACTTTAGATATCTCTAGTTAAATATGATACTTTTGAAGCATGTTCACTGGAGTGTATTAATATTATAATAATAAAAAACTATTCGTAAAACAAGTATTTCATGTATATAAAAATAGTAGTAGCTTTTCTGATCATGCCAAAATCATAAATCGACAAAATAATCTTTTGGTTAATTTTTTATCAGGTGTTTCAGGAATAATGATAATAAAAATTAACTTTTTGTATCGATTTAGAACTAAATAGACTTTTTACATCTTATAACATATCTATTAAATAACAACTAACCTAACTAATTAAATCAACTTTCTTCAAGCAAAAGTTATTTTTTCTATAACTTGTCTTAACTCTAACATAAAAAAAGAACAATACTTATACTTAACTCTAATCCTAACTATTTAAAAAAGAGTTATTTATAAAATTGAACTTTATAAACTAAATATCTAAGCCTGGATTAAGCAATATTTCAAAAATTATATAATACATATCAGTGCAATCGCTTTATAGAATAAAGATTAACTGCTAAATTTGGTATATATGATCTTTAGTATGTTATTTTTATGCAAAGAAGTGAATTTGCTTTATTATACTACCAGTTTATACAATATAGACTTTTAAATTTCAGTATGTTTATGTGATAGGTACTTTTAATTTTCAATGATTTCTATTTGTCTATTTGCTCTAACCTTTTTTTCAGCTACTATGTGTTTCAGTTTGATTATTTCTTGATTTATCTTTATGAAATGTGGAATTATGGCCAGTTTGACTACACAAATGACGTTTATAAGATCTGTAAATTGAGTTCCCACTCTGTTTTTGCTGTTTTTGCTCTTGCTCAATGCTACTTTGGTATTTTCGCTTCAAGGGTCTTCTTTTATTAACAATATAAGAAGGATTTTTAATATTAGCAAGGTTCAAGATAACAGATTTGACTGTATCATTATCAGATTCTTCTGTTTCATCCATTTTAGATAAACTTAACTCATCAAGATCATCAGCTGGAGTTTTTATTGTTTGGTCTATAGCATTACTTTGTGCTTAATTTTTCTTCTCACTAATATATTTTCTTAAGATTAGAACTATTTCATCATTATTATTCTCTATAGCAAGCAACATTGCTTCACATGCAAGTTCCCAGATTTGCCCATATTGTTGTCTTTTGTAAATGGTATTTTTCATAATAGAAACAATAATTGGCATGATAGCTGGCTTGTGTATAGATAAAATTGTTATACTATTTTGATTTAATTCATGCATATCTTTTTTATAGCTAAATACAATATTCTCTTCTGATACTATATAATTTTTATATGAGTTTTTATACCACCGAGCAGGTATCATCGATATATGAAATGCTGCGATATTCAAATGCATCATGATGTGAAAGTAATGTCTGCATATAATGCTTTTAGAAATATTCATGAGACATGAACATAAAAATAAAATTGGATTAACAATCACTACAAAATAAACACAATGCCTTTTTTTCATTATGCAAATTGACAATTTTTTAAATTTCTTTTAAATCTTCACTTTTAACTTCATTAATTATAGACTAGAATGTTATTCTTCTTGCATTATACTGATCTTCTATAAATTCATCATAAGTTTGCTTAATATTTTATATTTAATTCTGTTGTTAGATAGATTACTAATGTTTTAATTTTTTTATTTTTTTTTTACCTGTTTCTGAGTTAAGTTTTCATTTGTAGAATTGATTTTACTTGTACAAAAAAAAAGGCATTAACTTATTTCTATTTTAATTTCATTATTTATTACTTCAGTCAGATATTTGTCTAGCACTTTATTAATTGTAGAGAAAAGGTTTTGACTAGCTATAGGTACTGTTAATATGGTAGTCAATGATTTGTACTCATGAAAACATTTCTATTGATCTTATCTTTCAACTGTTGGTCTAGATAATTTGCAAGTTCATACAAAGTATTACATAATTCTAGCCCTTTTTTAATTATTTAGTTATATGCCTTTATACATGTAGTACTCTCAATTCCAACTATAAAGATTTTATACAAGTATACATATGCCCAAGATTTTTGATTTTGATCAAGGGCTCTAAGTAGATAGTTTTTTGCTATTAGATATTTTTTTGCAGATCATTCCATCTTTGCTCAAAGAGTAACACATATAAGCTATTCCAACACTAGTAAAAATCTCTTATGAACTCATTTCATTTATCTTTCAATTTGGATTTTAAATTTTTAGAAAGATTTTAGCTAATATAAAATATACAATATGCCATATATGTAGTTGGGAATACAATGAGAATTGCAGCATTCAATGCAGGATCTGCATCTGTAAATATTACAATTGATAATTAATTTATAGCTTTGCTAATAAGCTGTAAAATTTATATATATGTGTCTAAAGTTTCATTACTAACCAATGTTTAACATACCAATCTTGTCTTTTTATTATTATCTATAATGATGAAAAGGCTCAGTAGCACTTGATACTTATTTTTATGTGCTGTATTGTCATTAACAACTACATTATTATACCTTAACTATAGGTCAATCTGTTCTGAAAACATCTATAAAAGCTAAACCAAGTGATTTTTCTTATCAAGTTTAAATTCAACAACCCACTGTAAATTCAAGATTTTCTTTTTCATCAATACTGTAAGTAAAGTTGACATATCATTATTCCTATATACACTTTTATCAGATCTTTTAAACTTTTAAATTGCATTATCAAAGTTAGTATCTTGAAAGTTTAAATTGAGAAAGCAGGCTTTAAGAAGATTTTTTTGAACAATAATTAAAAGATTTGCATGCTTAGTCATTATTTCTATTTTCTTTAAAGTATTCTTACTTAATGACCTAAACTTAATTCTGAATTCTCGAGTTTCTACTAAAAGCTTATGTTTATAAACATGGATAATTCCTATTTGAGACCTAGATTCATCCAAAAAGAGATTGCAATATTATGAACATTCTAACTTTTTCGTCTTTGTATTATGCTGTGTTTTTTTTTGTACTGTAATTGGATCTTTTTTTGCTTTGTATTTTCTACCAAACTCATAGATAAAAGTTCTTTTTTGAATTTCACTAGTTTTACTACATTCCATCCTATATTTATTAATGCTGAATCTATTTCATGTTTTATATTCTGCAAAAAACACTTCTATCTGCTCTCAGGTGTCAAATTTTAGGTTTTCTGAAATGTCTTCTGATAATATAGCATTTGATATACTAAGTCAGTATATAGCTTAAATAACACACATTTGAGATAGTAAGATAGATACCTTTTATAACTTTTATATTTGTGGTTCTTAGCTTTTTAATAACTGTATAGTTTTCTTTATCTACTGTATCATTATTCACTTTTTCTATTTTATTATTTTGGTCTTCAGATTGAATGTCATATATAGTTGTATATTGGTTTTCTTTTCTTGTTTTTTTGCATGCCTCAAAGGCAACTGCATATGGTTTAATTTCAAAAATAAGAATGTTTATATATTGTTATATCTTTAATTTCTACTTACTGTATTGCTGCATTTCAATTAGGTCTTCCAATTTGGCTTTTATTAGTTTTGTTGATGTCAATTCGATATTTATAAATAGTTTTGTTTGTTTTTGAATTTTTGTAATATTAAAAAATTATGTTATAGGCTGAAATAAAAGCAATTTGCAAAGATAGCTTATAATTATATTATAACTGTTTTTTATTGTTTGATTTGTAAGATGTGAGATATAATAATTTCACATGCAATTTTATTTATATTTATAATTAGATGTGACATATAAATATACTGCATAGAACTTTATTTGTTTGTAACTTTATTTAGTATAATTTACAAATATGACTTGGCAAATATTATGGATTATAGATGCTATTTATAAGCATAGTGCAAGGTGCAAAGTATATATTTATTCTTTAAACTAAATAAAAATTAGTAAGACCAAAATTTGTAATTACTCTGTTTTGATAATCTATAAGTAGATTAATAAGTATATTAATCAGTTTAGATGATATATTGATATGATTAAGAACTTTTTTAAATAGGTTTAAGTTAACTAAATCATAAGCTTTGCTTATGTCTTAGGATATAAGTCAAAATTCCTTGGAATTGCAATATGCATCTTTAATGATATTGTTAAGTATATGAATAGGAATGGCAGTACTATTGTCTGAAAGGGCAATATAGTTGTAAGGTGAAAGTATTTTAAATTTTGTAAAAGTATAGTTTAAGTAATTTGTAAGCAGTTTAGTGTATAGTTTTTTAGTATGCTCAAGAAGACTAATAAGTCTAATGTTAATAAGATTATCATCAAAGATTGGTTTTTTGGAAATTGGAAAAATTCTGTCTTTTTTCTATTATTTAGATATATGGTTTATAGAGATACATCTATTAAAAAGAGCAGTAATTGCTTAAAGAAATAATGAATCTGCATGTTTGATCATTTTATAGCTAATGCCTGAAGGGCCATAAGCTTTATTGTTTAAAAGCTAAACTAGTATTAAATTGACTTTATCAATAATAAATTTGAAAAGAGTATTGTTATACCATTTAAAATTTATATTTGGTTTGGAATTGTATTCATTTTGCCAGTTTGATTTACTGTATATATTTGTTAGTTAATATATTAGTATGATGTTTATTGATCAAAGTGTTGTTGGATATGAAGTTTAATATTAGGTGTGTTAGTAATAAGATTATTGTTTGTTTTGATGTTGTCAAATTTGACAGGATTTTTGTGCCAGTTAAGAATACTATTGATCATAGAAGTAAAGTTTAATTGTAGTTTATTACATCTTTAGTAATATTGTTATCAATTTGTTGTTTAATTTCTTTAATGTTTTCTATATTATAAGTATGATATAATGTTTTTTATTCATTTTTAACTAAACCTAATCAATTTGTTAATAGATTATGTTTTGCTGATAGTGGTGAAATGTTGAGATTACAAGATGGATTAATATAGATAATAAGTTGATTATGATAAAATAGGATAGGTGTTGAGTGTTGAAATGCATATTTGGTTTGTTAAATAATATTGCTCAGTTTTTTAAAATAATGATGTAATTTTGAAGCTTTTGTAGAGAAAATATGTTAGAAATTTTTGATCATAAATTTTTTGTTGAGAATGTGTTAGAAGGCTGCTGTAATAATACTATTTTGAATTTTATAATATATGAATTCAAGAGATTCTAAGGTTTGTATGTTAAGTAGTATTTGATTAGTAGTTAAGTTTAATGTTACTTGATTTGAAAAAGTTGCCATTGTTTATTATTTATGTTTTTTATATAAGTATGTTTTTTGTTAAGTTTTGGTTAAGTAGTAGGATTTGGCTAAGTATGCATAAGAAAAAGACCAATTAGAAATAAGAATTTTGTGGTCACTTTGAGTACTAGTATCAGAATCTTTAACAGTAAAGAGTTAAGATAATAAAAAAGAGGTTGGTTAGGCCAGATATAGTTAATGTTACTACTATATCTACTGCTTTGCCAAGTAGGTATAAAGGATTTTGTATAACTAGCTAAGTTAAATAAATTATTATATTGAAGAAAATGAAGTAGTTTATATTTAATTGAAGAGGATTAGATAAAGTAAACAAATGCATTAAAGTTATCCAAGATGATAGGTTGTATGTTTAAAGTGATAACTTGTTGGATCTATTATATAATAATATTTTGTACTAATAGTCTGAGTTGGAAGTTATTATATAATAAATAGATTGAAATAATTCTAAACTTGAAGTTATATTTGAAAAAAAGGTTTACTGCAATGGCATATTCCATAAAGAGTAGAATTTTGTGAATATGGCATTTAATAGACTTATGAATTATAATAGCTGTATCAGCTTTTAGATTATTAATACAGGACTAGAGATAAGTAAAATGTTTAGATTTTTGTAATTTGGTTATAGAGTTATTTGCAGTAATTTTAGTTTCTATAATACTAATGATTTTGAAATTGTTAAAGAGATAGAAGTCTTCTTAGATTTGTTGTTTTCAATCCTCATTATAGTCTTATACATTATATATACAAATTAATAGATTAAGTAGTTTGGAATTTTTAGACAAAGATAAAAGTAAACTGTAATAGTCTGAAGATTCTGGTCTTTGGAATAAGCAAAAGATAAAGAAGAACTGGTAGTTTGAAGGTACTGATATAAAAAAAACTAACATTGATATATTTGATTTTAGTTGAATATTTGGATAGTGCCAAATGGCTTAAACTAATAAGATAAAGTAATTAGATAAGATTTGAGTTCTGATAAAAAATAAACATGAGCTTTGCTATGATTATTTTTAATGAAGATAGTTAATTTGTAGCCATATAAGTATTCAGATTAGTAGCCAAAGCTGTGAATATGTTGTAAAAAAGTAATAATAGTTTGAGGATAAGG